ATTACAAGGCTGTTCAAGGAACGCTTGGGGGCGAGTGTCTTTGCGTCGATTGAAGGAAGAGAGCGTTGCAATAAAGTGAGTGGTTGTTTTTCAATGTAGATTTGAAAATAAATAAAGAAATGTTTCAATACCAAATTTCGCCAGTTCTCTGTCCTGTCAGTACGTAAGGGGATCCGGGAATTTTTTGCTCAAGGAATCCAGAATCTCACTTACAAATCCAAGTCCCACCGACAAAGTCTGGAATCAAGTACCTAGAATCCGGAATCCACGAGGTGGAATCCAGAATCTAAAACTGTCGTGCATTCCTTTATCTGGGGCGACCGAGACATGCGCATTTTGATAAAAACTCGTCCTGAATCCCGCATAGGTCTACGAGTCTCTGAACTTCCTGAAGTCTGTGTCACTTCAAAAGCGGTTTTAGTTTTTACGAGCCGGCCGTTCATAGAAAGATTTATATCACAGTTCGACAAACATCAGATGCAGGTTGACAATTTCCATGGTTCGTAAATCTTGAAAAGGTCCTGAATTGTAGTAATTGTCTTGAAAAGTCCTTGAACTTCGCTGCCTTGTTCAAAAACATTTTTTGTGCGTGAGCAATATTTTACCTCTGTTTCTTTATTGTGAATGCTATTTCTGTACCTCAGATGCAATTGATACCCAATCGTTTTGCAAAGTGTTGTTGCGGCCGAAAGTAGTATAAAATAATGTGATCAACCATGGTTGAAGAAGTAAAAATCGTAAATGACTCCATGACGTGTTAAGCCAATAAGGTGTTCAAAACGAGGTTCTAATCTTTAAAAAGATTAGAATGCCGATTTAATGCATATCCTTGAAAACTGTAATTTGTCCTTGAAAAATCCTCGAAAAGTCCTTGAAATTTGTTTGTCTGAAGTTGTACGAATCATGAATTTTCTTAAATTAGGAAAAGGGCAGATGAAAAAAAGCTGTCCAAAATAATTCTTATGGATGTACTGATCCCTTAATGGCAAGTAAAGGGAGACCTTAACCTCCCAGAAAAAGAACTTGATCGTTTTCTGGATTAAATCCTAAGATATTATTGGTTTGCAACCTTGTTCGTATCTTCATTTATAAGTGTTTATCTCTAACGTCGAACTTCACATGTGCCAAAGCTAATGCTAAAGCGAAAAATCTATTGTTCTCGCTTATAAGGTTCGGTACATGTACAGTATTAAAAGCTCGAGGTTTGACCTGGGCCTTAAAATTTTTTTGCGCGCTGTGATTGGTCAACTTTTGCGTGCCTTTTTCCAGTGTAGTGCACAGCCTGCGCGCTAATTAAAAGTTTCCTTTCCCCGCGTGTCCTTTTCTCGGGGATGTATCACTAGAAACACGCGTTTTACAAATAATAAAGTCCCGGGGGGGACTGCCATATAAAAGTGGTGGGAATGCTCGTCGTCTCGCTTTGCGGTGTAAATTACAGATTTTCCAACGAGTATCCCCGTCACTTTTATATGGGAGTCCCCCCGGGAATAAAGTCCGCACTCATTTCTTTAAGTTATGGTCCTCACTTTCTTTCCCCGTTGGGTTATGTCCTGGCTGTGTCGTCATTGACATGGAAAAAACTCGGTCCGTAAGCCAAGCACAAACCTCGAGCTCAAGTGGAAAGAACACACGTGGGAATCAGTATTTAGTAAAATCCAACTGGTGGTCTATTATAAATGCTGCGTTCTGATTGGTTGAGCTAGTACTAGGCTATATGTTATAGCCTACTGGTAGCAAAAAGCACCGGCTTTGAAAACCAAAACAATGGTCGCGGAATCGCGTTTTTCAAGCTAACATTGTTTTGTCTCGATATTTTTGACCAACTAGTTGGATTTTACTAAAACAATTATTCCTCTCACCCTCATGGCCTCTGAGTCAATAGCCCATGAGGCCGAAGGCATCTATCATGTGCCATTGACTCAGAGCCCATTCGGGCTCGAGGAATAATTGTTGAGTATTCGTGAAAAGTCTTCTTTGCAATTCTGTGGCGGTAATCAGTTCTTCTGCGTCAATTTCAGTTTTGTTTTTTGAAGGATTCAATTCCCTTAAAAGGTGCAAGTGGTCTGATTCCGTCGAAGTAGCTAGTATGCTTCATCCTCCCCTACCCTCCCCTCATAGGTCAGGAAATTGGGAGGGTCCTGATCCCGCATTCCCGCCCCTTTTTCACGAGACTCCCACGTCCCAAACTTCTGTCACGGCTATCCCGAATATCGTTTTCTTTCCCAATTCCCCATCCTGAGCCCAAATTTTGGCGAATCCCGCTTCCCGGGTAGGAGTCAAATCCCGTATGCCGTTAACGCTACCCGAATCACGTTAACTCCCAGATCCCGGGAAATACCCTTCCAGACCCAGTTCTCATGTTTATTATTTGCAGTTGTTTCTATGGCCATGTGCTTACAGATGTTTTCTAGGTTGCAGATTTTTTTTATTATATGGTTGCATCCGCGAGCGGGCAAGATGAAGCGAATATTGAATTGATTGGCTACCCCTAGGGCTTTCCACAAGTTGCTCGAGATTTTCCAAAAAGTTTCCTGTAATTTCTCAAAAAGTTGCTCAAAAAACAATCAAAAGTTGCTTTTTGTAACGAAAGTTGTTCGAAAAAACAGAAACATTTTGAGTCTCATGCTAGAATATGAAATTGTACTTGTGCAACAAAAGTAAGATTTCTAGCAAGATTTTTAAAGCAAGGGACACACATACACCGACCGGCACGGCTAATACCTCAGGCATGCGCACAGCCATATCACCATGCTGATGAGCCTTAATGAGGGCGAAACAGCTCTCCATGGCTGCTACTGCCCGAGTGATATAGCTATACGTATGTGTGAGGTACTGGCTAGGTCGTGGGTTGGTACATGTGCGCCCCTGTTTTAAGATTGTCTTTGTAAGATTTCTAAGCATTTTAATTTTGTGCAGTTTTGCGGCGTAACCAGCGTTGCTGAATAACTTTGTCCTCAGTTAAAACCAAAAAAGGTAAGGAGCCACTAAAATTGTTGCATGACCTTCTTCACCCGACCGTGAGACACTCGAGTCAGCAAGTCAGTTTCGGCAAAACCAAATACTTCACAGCGGCAAAAACAAAATAGCTTTGGTTTTGCTGTGGGTATTTGCTTTTGTCGTGAGGTATTTTGTTTTTCCCGTGAGGTTTTTGGTTTTGCCGTGAGGTTTTTGTTTTTGCCGTGAGGTTTTCGGTTTTGCCGTGAGGAATTTTGTTTTTGCCGTGAGGTTTTTGCTTTTGCCGTGACAGTTGTGGGCCACCGTACAATTTAAGCACTAAAAGCTGCTCCGATATCTCAGAATTAGAAGATAACTAGAGAAATTGCTCGAAACGAAAAAAGTTACCGAGCAACTTGTGGAAAGCCCTAGCTACCCCAGCGGGCAAGATCGGGTTTTTCCGCAATGCATGGTCCCGCAGGAAAAAGTTCTCTTTTTGCCATATAATAAATCCGTTACTGACCAAGCTTGTTCTTAAGTTTCAAGATGGCTGAATAGTGGCCTCGTAATGCTTTTCTATTGACCTGGACTTCGTGTCAGTCAATAAACACGCAAAAAAGAACTTGGCCAATATACAACCATTTTGAACGAACAAGCTTGGTCAATAACGCATATGTAAAGGAAATACACGATGATGCGCATCTTCGCTTGAAATGCGCTTTACCTTCGATGGCACGAGGGAGGTTTAATTTAAGTGGCGAAAATTCGAACCGGCAGAACTGACAGCCGAAAACAAGCGGACAACCTTCGTTTAGACGCGAGAGTCCTACAAGAGTAGCATGAAGTTTGGGTCTCACGGGTAAGAAATGTTATCTTCTCCTTTGCCGAAGCAGAAGTCGAGAGTTAACGGAAGGTTATGCAAGTCGTGGAAAGGCCCAGTGACGCCCATATTTTAGTAGAAGCGTGGATAATAGGTTTAAATTTCGAATCAGCACGCGCGCGGGAAATTTAATCTCCAAAAGTGGCGAATATAGCACACGAAATGTTGCGCACGAGAGCAAACTTGTAACCGACAGCACCAACCGACTTTGGTGGCATAAGAAAAAGTCGCGTTCTACCTACAGTATAACAACATCTCCTTCAAAAAAGTTAAAATGTCAGAAGACCAAATAAAAGGTTTGTAAATATTGTGGAGAAAGCAAGAGGTTGGCACAGGGGTGAACTGTTTTTGATACTAACAAAGTTTTCTTTGGCACGGTAAGTGAAAGTTGAACCACTGCATTTGTCCGTGGGAATTTTTCTATCGTTATTTAACACAAAAACAATAAAAAATCCCAGAGTTACAAAATAATTCTCTCTTTGTAACTTTCAATTGAGAAGAAAGCTTTTAAAAGTGCACAAAATTTCTTGAACGATCCTGTTGTTTGCTTAAAGATTTTTAGGAACTCAACCTAACGAAGAAAAGAAGGCACATAAAGGGAAAAAGCGCAGGAAGTCCAGACGGAGCCGTAAACTTATCAGTTTTGTAAGTAAACCTACTTGTCTTCAAATGTGATAGAGGGACTGTCCTAAAAGAGCTTGAAAGGATCTCTGAAAGAACCCTTCCACGGTTTTATTCAAGTTTTAATGAAGACGACTTAGCGAATATCGATACATCGACACTGCTGGAAGGAGGTCCATAAAATTAGGAAACCTTATACCACGTTTAAAGGCAATCTGTCCAAAGCGAGTAAAGATATATTGCTCCACAACCTCGCGAAAGTTTTGCAGTACGTTTGTGTGTGTGTGTGTGTGTGTGTTTGAGGGTGGTGGTAAGAAGGGGGGGTGGGGGGGACAAGCTCACCACAACGTCTGTAAAACTCGGCACCTCACTAGCCACGTTCAAACTTGGCAGTTGCTGCCTAATAAACACCTTTAAAAACTGCACTTAGACTTCCATTTAAAGTGCAGAGTCTAGTTTTTTTGCATCTTATTCGCGATCGTTTAACAAACGTTTTACTTTTTCAATTGACTACTAGGTGGACCGGCCGAACTGGGGAAGGCGAGCTCGCTGTGACATTAAACTAATGTGGCAAATCTCGGTAAGATTCTGCTGTTGTTGCTGTTATTTTTGTTGTTGGCACCAGGCCTGAAACCTGAAACAGAATAAGGTATAAATCTAACGACGCGCCAACTCGCTGTCGAACTTTCGACATGTTTCCACTCTTTTTCACCTGCATGTATGACACCATGTGCAAGCACACGTGCCCTGAAGCAATAGCAATCACATTTGCCCTTAGAATTTTTTTTACAGTAAAACGCGGGCAACAAAAATGGCAAATTCTTCTTCCATAATCGCTTCAAAACGAGTTAAAACAACGTTGCGCGTTTTACCACCAGTCAAGTCTGTCTCGCAACAATTCATATTGTTGCAGGTTTCAGATAGTTGTTGCAAAACGCCTTAAACTACTCTCTACTTTCTGCAACAACTTGTCGCAACCTACAACTCGGCACGGTGCACGTGCTTGCAAACAAAAAAGAAATCCAAGGAGCAAGGTCAACGGCTTTACGCGCCCTGCTGTATGCGCACTGCTGCAAATGAATTGTTGACTCTATGTTATCTGTGAGGTTCGTATACAGAGTCTTGAATTCTTGAAATAGTCTTGACATTTCCCCAGCAATTTTCCAGACCTGGAAGAAGTCTGAAAAAGTTTGTAAAAAGTCTTGCGGTTTTTTTTTTAATTTTTCAAAGCTGAAACAAGTGCTTCATGCATAAGCGATATTTTTTTGTTTTGGTCAAATCTGACTCAATGTCGCCCCTATGTTTGCAGCGGATCAAGAAAAAAGTTTGCTTTCTTCGTTCGTCTTTTATGGTCTCTATTGATCACCCTCCGGGTTTATTTGATAACCTTGAGGTCGGAAAAAGAAATTAATGCTTTGGAAAACTGTCTGGAAAAAGTCTTGAATTTTGGATCCAAAAATCTCTACGAACCCGGCCTGTATCTGGCAAAAGGAACCGGCATTCCCTATTTTGTTTCAGCCATGAAGTGTTGTGTTTCATTTTCAGTATTGCTGTCAGCGTAATTTGCGTTCAAAGATAAACGGGACTATTAATTAATTCGCCTATTTCTTTCTCTGCATCATTCTTCTTTCCTAGATTGGCGAAGGCTTCGACATCTGTCCAGGGCAAGAGGAGTATTTGTACGAAAACGAGTGGTAAGTATATTATGAGCTATTGTACAAGCCACTTAGAGGTCAGTTTATCAATCTATCCACAAATTAGCGCTATTGAAATTAAAATTGAACCGATATTAAAAGGCCAAGTTTTTTATCTTTGAACTTGAAATATTTTTGGATAACAAGCGTGGCGGCGACTAATGTTTCTTTATGAAGAAGTACAGCTGTCGAAACTAGTCACCACTCTGGGCTGGTGTGATCTCATTCTTACTTCTTAAGTTAGTCATAACTGATTTTGCTGGCTCTCGTAGGACACCCACAGAGGAGGATTTTAAACTTTTTGATGAAAGAAAGCACCAGTGTTGTCAAGGTATCAGTGAAAAATTCAGGTTACAATCGTTCAGATTATTTGCTAATGGCGAAAACAGTTACACGGAGAAAAGTACTGAATTTACGTTCAGTTCTCTATGGCGTCGTCAAAACTCATGTGCGATGCGGCTTTTACAGCGCGCGCAACTTCTTAGGAACTTGAATTATCGCTTTTTCCCGGCGAGCTCTTGAGCAGAAACTTTCTTCTTAAACGACAACAACATTAATATTTATTTCTACGGAAACAAATTACATTTTGTTCTTGAGACACTCAATTTTGTTCTTGGATTGCATGCAAACGCAAAAACTATCATCAGTCTACTGTACATAGCTGGTATTTTCTAAAACAAAAAGAACCAGAGATAAGAAACAAAACCAGGAGGTCCTGACAAAAAAAAAACAACAACAAAAACAAAAAACACTATAGCCGTTGTCAAACACTCCTATGACCACCTATGTGAAACGCAATTTCCTCGCGCCGTTTTTCTCTCGCGGTAGCCATCGTGCACGCATAATCACGTTTGTTCCCCGCCGTACTTGACGCGTTCAGTGTGTAAAACTCGAAAAAATGTCATAGATTGGTTGTTATGTCGGGTTTTGTTGGGGAGGGGTGGGTGGGTGGCTTACTGAGAACCGCACAAAAATTTCGTTTTAAAGCTATCAAGGCCAGTTCCTTGCACTTTCCGAGTATATTTGTATGCATTCCGCCGGGGAAGAGAGCGGTCACATTCTATGCACAGTTTTATAATCAATTTATAAAGCAAAAGGCTCAGTGTAACCGAAGGTATCAAGGTACATCCAAAGAATAAAACTGTTGCTATTTTTGGTTTCATTTTTGCAGAATTTTCATCATTAAATTCCAGGACAAGACCGTCTCAAGAATCTTGCGGAAAAGAAAGCTGTTTCTTTGAAGATGGATCAATACTTTATTTGTAAGGGACGGGCGTGCTTTTACAGTTATCAGACGGGCAATTTAAACTGGCAGTTCATATTTTAGGTGTTAAAAATACATGGCTGTTAATAACATTTCTTAATTTAGTTTTTTTTTTATGTGAAGAATAAATGGCAACAACATTCTATCCGCTTTTTCACTCCAACTTGTGGTCAAACTGAAAGCAAGGGGCAAACATACACCAACTGAGGGTCTGGCCAGTACCTCACGCATGCGCACAGCCATATCACCCGGGCAGTGGCAGCCATGGACAGCTGTTTAGCCGTTACTGGGACTCATCAGCATGGCATTAGTAGCCGTCGGTCCTATGAATGCACAAAGCCCTGTTTCCATGGCTGCCAGTCCACTGCCTGATTGATGTTGTTGTGGGTTCATTTCGCATGTTGTAGAAATGCTCTTGAAAGTTTCCTCAAAGCATACCCACTTTATCGGAATGGCAATTCGCGCGATCATCGCTTTAGACCACGTTTACATGGGGAGACGTTGCCCCGAGTAAAAGGGTCACTAGCTACCCTGGGCGAGCCAACTTTCCATACCGTGGCGTTTACATAACAAAACAAAAGGCTGGCACGGCCAGAAGTGTGCCCCGCCTAGACTTGTCTACTTGTCACCCTTTTGTGATGTTAGGTTCACCCTTCTAGCCAGCCCACCTACCCCTCCCCTAACTCGACGTTAACATTTGCGTCTCACTTGGAGCAAAATGTTAGGGTTAGGGAAGGGGTGGGTGGGCAGTTTCCCGGAAACGTAAATTGATCCCAACATTCTCGATTTACACACTTTGGCTCGCCCACCCGTTATTACGGCAATTTTTTGAAAATGTCTTCATTCAGTGCCTTAAGCGATACCTGAATGGGCAAATTTTGTGGCTTTCCGTCCCAAACACCCTAAGGGAGACCAAAATCTGCAATTTACACCCCTAAGCAAGACAACGAGCATCACCGTCACTTTTATATGGGAGCGCCACATCCCCCCCCCGGCCCCTCCTCTAGGATAAGGGTGACCTTTCCACCCGGGAGTAGTTTTCTCCATTTAGACGGTCAATGAGGTCTTACTCTCCATTTTTACAAAAGATCGTTGTGACTCGATTTCTTCGGGGAATACACGGGAATCTCGATCAGAACACTATACAACTGGGCCCTGAATAGGGGTCGTCTCCCAGACCTATTAGTCTGGCGTTTGATATTCGACTTCGTTTGTCAATTTTTGAGTTTGTGTTTGGTCGGAAAGCCACCAGTGAACCCAGGTTGCCCCTCTCCTCGGCTATAAAATCAATAACACGTTGAAAAATAAGCTTGAAAATACACGCTGGGCAACTACATACGTTTAAAGGAGCGTCGTAATTGCTTGAAATTACAGAAAACAAATGTTTACCATGGTCTCTGAATTGTATCGGAGGAATCGAGGATATTTGCAGTCACGAGATCAGACCTCACGTGAATTTGCTCCTAATGTTGCGTGATGCGTTGTGTGACAAAACGTGAAGGTGATTCCAAGGGTTGTTAGCAGCTTCCCTAAATATCAATAAGGGAAATTTCTCTTTTAAACCGCTTTGCTGTTACTAATATGCACGAAATTCCCAATATTTTTTATTCAAGAATGTTCTGGTTGCGTTGCTATATAATTTATTTCTTTGCGTAGAGGGCTTCTTGAAAATTCTGATCATTTGCAATTCTCTTTTCACTCTCGTGACGTCACCACCTCGCAATCGTTGAACTCTAAAAATGGCGGCGAATTCGTGTGGACCTTTAGAAAGAAACTTTTCAGCCGAGAAAACGTGCTAATCTCTTCTTGGATTTCACGGTTTGATAATCCTTGTTGAATATAGACAGACAAAGGAAGTTAAGAAGACCAACGGATGTATTATACGACGCACCAAATCGACTTCCCCGTCACAAATCATAAACCGTTCCTCGGCAATGCTGTTGTATTAACGTTCTGAAAGTGTAATATTGCAAGATTGGTCTTGTGAGAACTGCTCTAATTCGCCCTGCAGGAAGTCCATTCATGCACAGAAAATGAAAGATTTAGTATTTTTGGAAGGAATTTTGGCCGCTGTTAATTCTCAAGACACCCAGAAAAGGCTGAAAGCGGCTGAAGACCTCTCGACCTACCTCAGCGATCCTTCGAACAGAATAGAGTTTATTGGCTTCGATAAACTTCTCGATGGCCTTGTTGCGTGGGTCAATAGCAGTAATTTTAAGGTAGGAAAACGAAGAAAGTGATTTACTTTCTTGATACTATTCTTTTTTTGCTTATGTGCGGGATATATTGCGAATATTTTCATGGGATTTAGCAAGCACTAGAACATTTAGTCGACACGATGCAAAATGCTCGCGAGTTTTTGACGATCGTTTTCCGAGAGGTCTTTGTGCATGGATTGAAAAACGATTGGTAGTTTAGGCTATAAAAATGAAAATCACAGCTTATCCTTTTCGAAATACACTGATTTGTTATTTCTAGACGTCAGGCGTCTATTAATTGGGGCTTGAGGTATTAGGGTAGTTTGAGGAGTCCAGATATTCTGTAGACAAATATTGGCACCCGAACGACTTAGTACAGTAATTAGGTATTTTCCTTGGTATTCTCTTTCAGAAATAACCTGCCAAATAAATGAATGGTTTTATTTTTCTTTAGTTGAGCCTAACGGGGTTGGATCTCCTTCATCAAATTGTAGACAGGCTTGGAGCAAATTTTCGCAGTCATCTCTTACCAGGTTAGCGAATAAAATATAACCTTTTACCTAGAGAGGGTAATTAGGACAGTTAATTTACAAGTAATTTATTCTCCATGCTGTGTTGTTGGTGTTATTAGAAACCAATTCGTTTTTTTTCTGTCTGAAAACGGAGACAAAGCTTTCAAAATTTTGAATCCACTGATGTTGAGCCTGGACTCTTCAGATTCTAAATAAACGCCGGTTAACTATATGCGCCGTGTTGGCATATGAGCGCTTTTGTTTACTCATAGCTTTGATTCGCAGGTATTGCCTTGAGAAATACAAATGCCATGTAAATGCGAACCCGAGTCTTGTAAAAACTTGATTTTTAACTTTGATTATCTGGACAAATACATAAATTCATCTTTAAAATTCAGAGTGGCAGAGATGTTATGTTAGGTTATTAAATATAAATCGTTTTCTGGTGGATAAGACGTAACAACAACAAGTACCACGGCTTGTTTTGTTGAAAGCGAATTAATTGTCGTAACGTGAGAGCACAAATTACTGTTTCTGTCAAGGCACTTTGTACCTATATCATTTAGACATTTCAGTTATAAAAGTATCCCGGTAAATCCGTGGCGTAATGTTTATATGAGTCCCTGCTGTTGGATGTTTGCAGATGAAGTGTCAATTTCGTTAATTTTATTGACTTCGAAGATAAGAACAATAGTCACTTAGTCACGATATAAATGGAATAAAATTCCTTTATTGGTTGGAGGTTTTAATTGTAGCCTTAGAAGTATGTGGTTTAGGTTGTAACTCATTTTCATGAATTGGAAAAGGTCTTAGATGAAAACAAGAATGAAGATGAGGTCATTCATATTTGGAACTTTGTTTAACTGAAATATAAATGACCTCTTTCCGTTCCACTTTTCATTGATATCAGTTTGAAATCGTCCGCCATGTTGCCTGTTATACGAAATTGCATAATTATATGATATGGTAGATGCCTCACGCAAGTGTCGTGTTTACTTGGTGTAAGAAATGTTTGCATATTGTATAAGATTGTGTTATTGGCCTCTGCATAGCAACATTAGTGGAATACGCCTGAGGTATACATGCAAGCTGACCAGTGTTTATGGCTGGCATAGTAAGCTAGATATATGCATAGTTGAAATCTTTTAAAACATATTAATTTGTTGTTGTATTTACAGTCATTGACTGACAAAATGTTTTCTACATTTTCAAGTCTCCTAGCTGTTTGCTTTAGAGGGGTGCAGAGCTTAAAATAAACCTATTTTTAGGAGGTATCAGTATCACATGATCTTTTTTTCCAAATGCAAAGCCATTTATATGTTTGTATAACATAGTAGATTAACTCTATAAGATGTAATTGTAGTTGCGTGACTGCAATCAGGGTAAAAATTCTTTAATGTTGTTGTCAAAATTCGGCAATGACTATTGAAATTTACTTAAAGCAAACAGTGGTAGATAACTAAGTGCTTTTACAGTCATGCACATGCAGTATGGAAAATGCATTTTTGTGGTGGATTACTGTGATTTTGTTGTAGATTTTGCTAAATATTTTGTTGTACCTCTGCATGCAGGTATTCATTTCGACACATTAGTACAGCATCTGCAAAGTCTGTGTTTACTCAACATTTTCACTGAGATGTCTCTAAGAAAAAACTCAGCAACTTCCATGCTGTATATGTTACAGGTCAAAACTCAATTCAGGTTAAAATTTTTTAACCTTGGTTGATTCTCAATTAAGGTCAAAAAATTTTAACCAGAATATAATTTTGACCTGTAACATCTACATCCATAATTTTCTCAAGTTATTTTATCGTTACTGAATTGCCTAGCGCAAATTTTGAAAGCTAATTTTGTCTAGGGAAGTCAATACTATTTCAAGGTTGGTCTGTAATAAAATGTTAATATCTACAGTGTATAAGCAGCCAAAAAGCTCTGACCCTAATCCGAGTCCAGTTCTTTGAGGGGGGTGTTTGGGGTTATGAGCACTGTAATATCACAAAACAAAATCATCCGACATACCCAAACCTGACTTGATGGATACTGAAGGACAGAGCCTAACATTTGGATTACAGAGCTGTCTGGAATATTCAGTTAGGAAATGTTTGAAGTTTGCTTTTTTAAGGACTCTGTAATTGAGAGGCATAGTCAAACCCGCTTTATGGACACCCGTTTAAAACAGACACCTCATTATTATGGACAAAAAAAGTTAATTTTTTTTACTTGAATCCCAGTGTTTCCTTGGCTCTGCCTCATGAAACATTGAGATTCTTGTGAAACAAAATGAATTGTTTC